GATGAGGTGCCCTTTCCGCAGCCCCTTCTCCGAAGCCCCGGGAGGCCTGGTGCTCTTTGCCAGGCTCTAGCTTGGATGCGGCTCCTCCTTCCTGCGCCAAGTGTTCCACAACCGCCAGGGCTAACATTTCTCTTGCTGCAGCGGCGCCTGCCACTCACTCAATCAGAGGGATCAGCCAAGATCCCTCTGGACACGCCTTCCACACAGAAGCCCCGAGGTCCCCTCTGCAGGTGGCGAGCCATCTGCCCGGGTGAGCACCAAGGGGGCTCCCCAAATCGGCGTGAGCAAACAGTTTGTCCAGAGCAGGAACACAGATGTGGCGAGGGCACACGGCTCCCCAGGATCAGCAGGCAAGGCCTCCACAGTCACACAGCTGGAGCAGGAGCCCCACTGTGCCCGCTGGGGGCATGGCCCCGAGCACCTCACCAAACACTCTACCCCTCAGAGTCTGGGTCAGTGAGACGGGGGCAAAAACACTCCCCTCCCAGGCGCAGAGACAAAATGCGGAAAAAGCAAAGGGTCTGACATCCATTTACCCCCGTCAGCGGGCCTGGCCCAGGTGAGCACTCAGCCATCTGCCCTCCCGTGTCCTTGTAGCGTTTCTGTGGTGAGGCCCCATCATGATGCAAGAGCTAGGGTAGGGGGGCACTGGAAGACACTTCTAGAAAACCAAGAGAAATGGTCATTTATGGGTCCAGACCAGTGGGCCACTCATTTCCATGCGCCGTGACAGCCCTCCCCTCACCAAAAGACAGGGCCTCCCAGGGGAGCAGGGGCCTGCCAAGGGCTGAGGACAGCAAAGTTGCACGCGGTGGGGTCCAGTGCAGAGGAAACCCCACCCCCATGCGAAGGGCACATCACGGGAAGGAAGCTGCTATCCCACCAAGGGGTCATGCAGTCATGGAAAAGCAAGACGTAGGAGAGCCACTAGCACTTCCTCCCAGCATGCCCCGTCCACATATGGAACCGGCAGGAACAAGTCGCTGTCTCCCTCCATCCGAAAGGCCTCATGGGGCAGTGACGGAGGGAGGGAAGGGGCACCCTTTGCCTTGTGCCCACCATGCGCTGGGCATTCTGCAGAAAGCCGTGCACACCTCACCTCAGCTCAGCTCTCCCTCAACAGCCCACCAGCCAGGCTGTCAGCCCCTTCCCCAGACGCAGAAACAAGCCAAAGGGTCCTCCCCGAGGACACTCGGCCGCATCTGCACCCCACCCGTGCTCTGGCACACGTGTGCCCACAGCGCTGGGAAGGGTGGCACAGCAAGAGCAGGGGCCTGCCTAGCCAGGGCATGGGCTCCGGGCAGAGGACTGTCTCCTTCACCTCAGAGGCCACTACAGCCAGGCTGGGGCGACTGGGGGGCTGGTCTGTGCTAGAAGCCACTCGGCCTGGCCCTGAGCGAGCCTGCCAGGGGCTGGGAGGAGACGCGCTGATGGGGCGTGCAGGACGCTGACTCATAAAGCAGGCGACGTGCGGGTCCTGGTGGAACTGGCCGGCGTTCCCTGAAGCCGCCTCAGCCTAATGCACCAGAGGACGTTTTGTTAGGAAGATTACAGACTGAAACGAGAGCATCAAAAAGAATTAATCTGTGAGCGGATTTTATTTAAGTGTTGATTCATGGTTGCTCTATAAGCCAGTGGTCCGTCAGAACTATAAATTAACGAGATAAAACGTGGCTGGACCGCCATATTTCAGGCCCGGTATTGACGTTTTAGAATCCACAGATTTTTAACGGTATTGATTGAGGACACCAGGATAAATGGCCTTGGCGCCAAATTCCCATTAACGACAATGGGCACCGAGTGACTAATTCCCGGAGCGCTGCGGTGAGGACGCCCTGTGTTGCCTTCTCCTGGCAGGGAGTTCTAATTAGATTGAAATGAAAAAGCCAAATCACCAAGGGCGAGCAAGTGAGGCGGGAGAGCAGTCGGTGACGAGAAAGGGCGGGACATGGGACCGGGCGGAGCGTCAGAGGGGCTGCAGACAGACGCCTACGTGACTGCTGGAGAGAGCACAGCACAACACAAGTCAGGGGATGGGTGCAAACAGGGCGGAGCGCCCACCCCACCCTGACGGCCCCTGGTGTTTGACTGCCCAGCAAGGACCAGGCTCGGCACTGTCTCGTCCACCAGCCCTGGCTCCGTGGTGGACCACAGAGACCACCAGCATAGGCCTCAGCCCCAAGAGCTCTAAGCAGGGAGACAGACATGAAAACCAACAACCCCCTCAGCCAGAGAGGCCCCGTCTACGAGCTGAAGGATTTCCTCAGGGGTGAAGTCCAAACCCCTCATACCTCTCCCTCCACCCCCAAGGGACAAAGGACATCCAACATGCTCACCACTGTAGCCCAGCACCAGGTCTTGTACACAGTAGGTGCTCAATAAGCGCCGAATGAAGGAAAGTGGTCCTTTAACAGGTGAGCCAGGTGGTTCGTGCCATTCCCAGGAGAGGAAAAGTCCCCACTACCTCCCAGACTGGATGGCAACGCTCTGAGGGGCAGGGCCATGCCCTCCCTGGGCCACTGGGCACACCACAGCTACGGGGCACACAGGGCGGAGCCAGACAGCTTTCCTCCAGCCAGAGCTCTACCGTCAAGGGCCAGGCAGCTGCCTCCCCCCCTCGGGCCCCAGACACACCCAACCAGCTGCCGCTACCAGGAAACCTGCCTGGAGCGGTCCAGCCTCAGCAGCAGCCTCCTACTGCCACCTGCTGTGGCAGTCCCTGACCTATCAGGCAGGAGGACTGTAAGTCTATAATTTCAGAACCACCCCCCCCCCCAACACACACACACACACACACACACACACACACACACCAGCAATGTCTGTTTATCTGTTTAACATCTGTTGATTGAGAAGATAGAGCTTGACAAAGGGCCACTAGGAATCCAATAATGTTATCAAATAAACTTGTATTAGATTAACCCGGCATCACCAGGCTATGAAAAGCATCACTTCATTCCGCAGACGGGACGGGTGGGCGGCGGCGCCCATGGGCCTCAGTGGCCCTGCAGTGGAAGCAGGGCCTGAGGAATGTGCATCCCACCGACCTGAACTTCCTGACGCCCAGGCTCCCTTCCTGCACCCAAATTCAGACCCCCAGCTCCTACATCCCCATTTCCACACACACCAGACAGTTTATGCTCCTGTGACCACTCTGTCCTTCCTGTTCTGTCTGCTGAGAACCCACTTTCTTCCCACTCAACCATAACCCCGCACCGATTCTCTGCCCCTGATTCCTGCCTCAGCTCAGGTTCCTCTTCCTCCAGGTAGTCTTCCTTGATCTTCCAGGCTAGACATTCTCATAGCTCCTGCGTCTCACTGCCTCGCTGTGGCCTGCAGTTCTCTCTGCACTGCTGTGTCTCCTAGCACCCAGGAGCTTGTCCAGGATGGTCCTGGGTCCTGTTTAACCCTCTGTCTCCGATACTGAGCATGGCTTATTGAACACACTGGCCACAGAGGGCAAGGTCAGGTGGAAGGCTCGGAGCCTGGCAGGCCTGCATGCAACCTGGCTCTACCTCCTGCCTCCTGCTTCTGGATCAGGGTGTGAAAAATGGATTCTGGTGGCACCAGCCTCTAAGGGTGAGTGGGGCCTAAATTGAGGCCATGTGTAAGTCCTGGCACGCGGTGGGTACTCGGTAACAGTACCTGCTGCTGTCATCACTGACCCAATGGGCACCGTCACCAAGTGGCACCAAACCCCCTGAGCCCTGGCTCCCTCCTCAGCCCCGTGGCTCCTAGTGAGACCACAGATGGCCAGGGAGACACTTCATTGAGAAGAACAAGCCGTCCATGTGGCCCTGCAGAAAGGGGACGGGGCTCTGCAGTTGCACAGACAGGGCTCAAGTGCCCATGTGACACCCATCAGCGGGAGGCCCTGAGCAAGCTCCTCATCCCTTTAGCCTGTTCCCTCACCTGTGAAATGGGGAAATAATCACCGGCAGCAGCCGAGGGGCAGAGCAACATGTCATGGGCACAGGCCCAGCTGCTGACACAACCATCAGTCACGTGACCACCCTCCCTGAGCGCATGGGGGCTCAGCCAGAGGCACTGCAAGGCTGCCCCGCTGCAGCCCAGGTCACGAGGACACTCGAAGGGGGTGCCAAACCCCACAATTACCCCTAACCTCCATTGCCGGTCCTCCCTGCGCCTCCTCCAAGCTCCGGGGGAGAAGCTGGGTGTCCAACCAAAGTCACTACCCCCACCTGCTGGGACCCAGGACAGGCACAGACCCCAGTGCCGTCACTGTGAGGCCAGGCAGGGGGGGGCTGAACAAGAGCTCCAGGGACCCCCAAGGCCTCTCCTGGCTCTGGCAGTGGTGCCCAGCGGAGGAGTGACCCAGGAGCCCAGGGAGGAGAAGGCAGCACCCTGGGGGCCGGGGCAGAGGTCCGAGCCCAGTTCCGCACTCCCTGGCGTGACCTCACCTGAAAACCACGGCAGGAGGCCGGGCGGCGGCTGGGTTGGGGGCTAACAGTGCCGGCTGCGCAGCAGGGCTGGTGACGAAGTTCCCTCGCTGACTTCTGTCTCCTTCTCGCCCTGCTTGTCAAGAGCCCCCTTCGGATTTGCCCGGCCCGGCTCCCTCTCGCCCAAATGCCTTTTCAGCGTGGGCATTAAAGCAGAACTCGTATGCAGGCTCGCCCTAGAGCTGGAATCATTCCTTACAGCTTTCAACGATAATGAATTGACAGGAATTCTAAACTGATTCCGACCAAAGGACACGGTGATAAAGCTGAATCTATTTCAGGACAAATTACATGTCAGAAGTTGATTAAAAAGCCACCTCTTTATCCAGCCCACAGCTTGGGGCTGAGACAACCTTGGAGCTCTGTCCTCCAGACAGGCTGGCACAGGCCCGGCCCAACCCTCCGAGGAGAGGCCTGGTTCCAGTCCCGGGCCCTCCTCCCACGGCCCCCACACCAGCCACAGACCCGTGGAGGAGCTGCCCGGGGAAAGCTGGCTCCAATACCAGAAGGGGGGCCATGGGTCACGGCAGAGAAACGCACCTGTTTCCAGGTCTGTGAGGTGCAGAGCGCAGTCGAAGCCTCCGGTAAGGACGCGCTGGCCGCAGGGAGACCACCGGGCAGCACGCACCGCCTCACTGTGCAGAGAGTAGGTCTGCAGGCATCTCCCCGAGTCCACCGCATTCCACACCTGCAGGCAAGCACAGCGCAGACATCAGAAATGGGCCCGGCCTGCCCCAGCTGGTTTGGCTCTGTGGATCGAGTGCGGGCCTGCAGACTGAAGGGTCCCGAGTCCAATTCTGGTCAAGGGCACTTGCCAGGGTTTCGGGCTCAATACCCAGTAGGGAGCATGCAGTAGGCAGCAGATTAATGATTCTCCCTCATCATTGATGTTTCTATTTTCCTCTCCCTTCCTCTCTGAAATCAATCTATATATCTCTTTACTAATAAAAGGGTAATATGCTATTTAGACCAGACGTCTTCCAGACATCCATCTGGATGTCCTTCCACACAAAGCCTTGGTGGCAGGGGCTGAGGCAGCGGTGGTTAGGGGCGACCAGGCCAGCAGGGGAGGGAAGTTAGGGGCAATCAGGCAGGTGAGCAGTTAGGAGCCAGCAGTCCTGGATTGGGAGAGGGATGTCTGACTGCCGGATCGGGCCCAAACCTGCAGTTAAACATCCCCTGATGGGTCCCAGATTGGAGAGGGGGCAAGCCGGGCTGAGGGACCTCCTATTCCCACCCACCCCCTACCCCCCCACCCCTGCATACACAAATTTCATGCACCAGGCCTCTAGTATATATATAAGGCTAATATGCTAAGTGTTCCTCCTATGATGCGCATGGACCACAAGGGGGAAGACGCTCAATGTAGGAGCTGCCAAGCTGCAGTGACTTGGCAGTGGTGGTTCTTGGGTAACACACCACAAAACTAGAGGGGAGGGAGCTTGATTCCTCACAGGGCCGCAATTCCACGTTCGGCCGTGGGTTACGGTGTTGCTGGCACACTGTTGGCTGAATCTGGTTTACTGCACATTTGCATTTGTGTTCCACACCCTGTATGACAGCAACTTTGCAGAGTGCCCTCGCGCACTCCGGGACCCCTCGGGGATGTCAGAGAGCCGGTTTCGGTCCGATCTCTGCAGGCCAGGCCGAGGGTCCCCACCTGCCGGAGGGACCCCACTCACTCTGCAGACAGTGGAGAAGGACCACAGGAGGTTGGCTCCTGGGTGTATCCAGGCCATTTCGCCCAGACCCGCCCTGCCAGCTACCTTCTAATTAATTTCCTTTCACTGCGCATGAATCCTTGCACCGGGGCACTAGTAAAAATATATTTTAGAGAGAGAGAAAGAAATGGACTCTGCCCAGGGATAAGGGTCTTGCAGTGGAACTAGATTCCCTTCAGTTCACCATCAAACCAGACCTGGAGGTTAAACTTCTCCTGGATAAAGGTAAAGGCTTGGGCTGGTGAGTTGAGGGAAAGCTTTCCCCAAAAACTTCTCTGGGGTTCAGGAAGCCCACTAGAAAACAATATGCCCCACGTTCTGCTGTTCATTCCCAGTTCTGCCCAGTCTCGCCTGCATCTCTGGCACCTCTCCTCAGTGACGGGACTCGCTCAGCCCTGTATGGGACACCAGGCCAGCCTCTCTTCACCGTCCTCTTTTAAGACAAAGAACCGAACGAGAGCCTACCACCCCTGAGCTTATACATCTGCCCTCAGGGGAGAAAGCCCTGTCCCCCTCCCCACCCTGGCTTTCCGTGGGGAACTGAGGCCCGTGGCAGAAAGCCCCTGTGCATTTGCTGACTTCTAAAATATGCTACAGAGCCCTCAATATAAACTGTTCGTCCCAAGAGCCAGCGCCACCATGTACACTGAGGGCCTGTGTTTCGCCCAGGAAACTCCACCCGCCGCCACGCAGCCAGGAGAAAGGGCAGGCGTGCAGCCCAGGGCCTGGCCTCACCTACCACGCAGTGACTCCGAGGCCTGAACTCAGGAAGCAGGCCAAGGGCCAAGGGCCTCCCATGCTACTGGCCCTCTGGGCCGTGGGCTCCTCCTCCAGGAAGCGGGGGTAAGACGAGCCCCACCCCAGGGCAGTGGGGACCCTGAGGCAGACGGCGGAGCCGCAGTGCTGGCGGCCTTGCTTCCTGGGGCTGGCAGGCACGCAGTCCTAGCAGCAGGGATCCTGGACACTCTCTCAACAACACCCCGGAACCCACGCACACCCACAAACCTGGCCCGAGAGAGAACCTCCCCTTTCAGGATGAGAAAATTCATCCGGAAGCTTCAAAAGCATGTTTCCTGGGCTTGGAGGTCCGAGCGTAAGAAAACAAGAGGCTGAGAGTGGCCTTCCCAGAATGCTAAGAGAGCCCAGTCCTTTCTTCCCACTGGGGAGCGGGTCCGGGCCTCACACGGAAGAATCCGGAATAGCAGCACCGACAGTCAGCAGCACGGACAGGGGCCCTGGGAGGAACAGGGCCTTCGGAGTGGATTCATGGGAGAAGCGCAGAGTGCAGGCAACTGCTGTTTGTTTTTCAAAACTAGGTACACGTCTGACTTTAACAGGAAAATATAAAGTAAAATTAATGAACTAAGATCCAAAGGCTAAACAGTAAAAAAAAAAAAAAAAATTGCGTTCGCAGGCCACACTGCTTATACATAGTATAATACAATCCATCTAAGTTTTAAAAACTCACAAAACGCCACCTCAGGCCTATTAGGATGGCTACTCTAAAACCAACAAACATACAAGCGTTGGTGAAGGGGAAGAATCTGGACCCTTGTGCACTGTTGGTGGGAAGGCAAAATGGCCCAGCCTCTATGGAAAACAGCATGGCGCCACCTCAAAAAATACAGTTACCGCATGCTCCAACAACCCCTCTTTTGTGCCCAGAGGAACTGCACCAGGGTCTCCCAGGGGTGCATGCACACAAATGTTCACAGTCACGTTACTCACCGCGGCCAAAGGTGGACGCAGCAAACCTGGCCCGAGAGAGACCCTCCCCTTTCAGGATGAGAAAATTCATCCGGAGCTTCACAGACAGACATAACGGATAAGCAAGAGGGGTCCATCCACACCGAGGAACATTACTCAGCCACAAAAAGGAAGGAGATTCTTTCATGAATGAATCCTGAGGACATTACACTAAGTGAACTAAGCCAGTCACAAAAGACAAACAGTGTATGATTCCACTTCTTCTTGTTTTTGTTGATCCTCACCCCGGATATTTTCCCATTGATTTTTAGGGAGAGTGGAAGACAGAAGGAAAGACAGAGAGAAACACTGTTGTGAGAGAAATACATTGACTGGTTGCCTCCTAACAAGCCTCAACCAGGGCTCAGGCCGGGGAGGAGCCTGCAACCGAGGTACATGCCCTTAACCAGAACTGAACCCAAGACCCTTTGGGCCAAAGCCTGACACTCTATCCATTGAGCCAAACTGGCTAGGGCACATGCATGTTCTTAACACACTGAACCATACACCTAAATATGGTTAAGGTGCTAAACTTTGTTAGCTGTATTTCCACACAATGTTAAAAACACACATGAAGCAAAACTCTATCCTGTTTATTTGTGCATTTGCAGTAAGACTATAAAATATGCATGCATACGGTAGTCATTCCTGATAATGGAGAGAGATGGGCCGGGGCCGGGGCAGAGAAGCAGAGAGAGAATATGAATCTGCTCTGAAGCAAATATGCCCAAGTGTTAGAATCCATTAGACTCCTTCACTTATGCATTCATTCAGCAAACACTTCTGAGTACCTATTAGCCAGGCATTGTTCAGCGGTAAACAAGGAAGACAAGGCCCCTGCCGCACGGAATTTACATTCTGGTGGGCTAGACAAGACAGTGAACAAGAGGAGCCAGCGGGATCCATGTAGTATTTACGGTGGCGATAAAGCCTGGCATTCTAAGTAGCAAGCAGGAAAAGGAGGCTGGGCTGGAACGATGGCTGGCCGGGGAGGGCATCTCGGAGGAGGTGCCTTGAGGAAGGAAGCTACACAGACCCTGGGGGAGGACCCTCCAGACGGGCACAGACCCTGGGGGAGGACCCTCCAGACGGGCACAGAGCCGCTCTGGCCGCCATGCTGGGAGGGAGCGAGGAGCCAGGGAGACATGAGAAGTGTCTGTGATCACTCAGGGCGAGAGGAGGATGGCTGGGCCCAGTCGGAGAAGTGGCCTTGCTTAGAAGGTAGAACCAATCTTGGCTCGGAGGTGGGGCAGGAGGGCAGGAGGGCAGGAGAAAAGTCCAGGACAGTCCTTGGTTCTGGCCCGAGCACCAGAGGAAGGGGGTGGCAGGGGTGTGTCTGATGAGAGGAGTGGCAACTCTGGGGAGGACCTGGAGCTCGGGTTTGAATGACAGAGAGGAAGCAGACAGCTGGATGCATGAGTGTGAGGTCCAGGGTGGAGGCTGAGCTTTGGGGGTCCCTGTCACTGATGCCGATCCAGTCACGCACTGGAATAAATGTGACAGAGTAGGGAGGAGGCCCAGTGTGCGCAGGCACGGGTGCGAGGAGGCTAAGGAGAAGCCACAGAAGGATGCTGAGAAGGAGAGGCCTGTGAGGCGGGAGCAGCAGCAGAGGGTGATCCCTCCCGGAAGCCAGGGGAAGGGACAGCACTGGGTCTCATGCTGCTGGCACTGCGATCAGAGGCAATCTGGATTTTACCACCTGAGGCCTGGGTACCCAGGTGTCTGCTACATCACTTTCTAGACTTTTATGTTTAAAATGTTTCTTAATGTATAATGTTAGTGGAGAGGAGGAAGAGGAGGGCAAACAGGAAGTGAGAGAGGAGGGATCAAGGAAGGAGAAGAGGAAGCTGAAAAAGGAGTGAAGAAAAAAAGCAAGGAAATGGGAGGCGGGAGGGGAGGGACAAGAAGGGAGTACATTGGAGGGGAGGGGGGAAGAGAAGCAGGGGAGGGGGAAGAGAAGGAGGAAGGATGGATCATGGTCACAATCAAAGAGAGAAGAGAAAAGAGACAGCTGTGGCACCAGGACCAAAAGCCACAAACCAGACAGTCTGAGTTCCTGGTCAGGGGGCCCCCCCGGAACTCGTGATGGAAACGTGTTTAGGAAATCCATCCGTCTGCAACTGCCCGATAACTCCTCTCTGAAGTGAAAAACGCACGCTCGGCCCTCCTGGCTGCTACACACAGTGCCAGGATCAATGCAGACCAGGCAGCCACTCCTCCG